TATATATATATATATATATATATATATATATAGATATATATATATAATACTTTGTTATCATCAACATATGTATAATAAAATTGATGCGTCACTAATATATTTTATCATTTGACATTAATTTCAAAATATTTCAGTGATATTTTCGACTGAAGACCCGACGATAACTTCAAACCCCCAAGTCGTTGACCACCGTTAACCATCGGATGTTGGACGCCCCCTACTCATTGTCATCGGTGAACTATTTATGTAACGATGTATCATTGAATATGGTGTTACAAAGTATCATGCATACGGTGCAACGAACAATGTCATATTGAAGATCTAGCGAAGAATATTTTCAATTGTTGGACTTAGAATACAATAACTTTTTGTAGCCCTTGTGTTCCATGCATTGTGCGTGGACAAGTGTTGTACTTAATGTGTCGTTGTAACTTTTCCATCCCAATTGTGGGACAAGGGTGTATCTTTATAGGTACACCTTTATAGTGAAATGCATTGTCTCGGATAGGCCCCGTGATTTTTCTTTCTTTCAAATTATTTCATGTAAAAAATCTTGGTATTTTCTCCTATTACTTTTCAATCATTTTTGTGTGTGCTCAATTTTCATACAACTCTTAAATTTTAAATTATCACTCTACTGTCACAAATCTTTCAACACTTAACTGTTTGGCATCACTTGTGGAAAATATGAAGTCTAGGTGATAGAAGTTTGCACTTCCTCAATGGCCAATAAATGTTATACGTGTGCTTTGCATTCTAACATCTGTCATTCTACAACACAGTCTCGAAGTGAGAAACATTATGCCTTAAGTTCATTTCCTAACGATGCACATCATCTTGTTAGTGAATAAACCTCAATTGCACCACTTGAAGATAATGCGTGAAGAATGAAGGAGTGTTTGAATGAGATCCTTTGAATTTACGAGAGGATTAACAACAGATAATGATGCTTACTGGGGCCACTGCTACCTCAAAATTTACTAGTCAGAGGTGTACAAATGTCACCTCTTCCACACATTATAGTCCCTTTTCAGTAATTTAAACACATGGAAACTACTAGCTCTACATATCCACCCTCTGCAATCAACTTATGATTTTCAAAATCACAGAACTTCAAACATTCAGGCTAAATTCAAAACCAGCATACTAGAAATTTTTCACTTCGAGAATTTGCTCATTTCTCTTGATATCAATACACGGACTCTATTCTATATACAACTTGGTCCACATGTATATTTACATGATTGACCATTATTTCACAGTATTTCAATTCATATCTAGTGTTTAGTGTCAGGGAAAAAATGTTAAATTTCCAATTTCCATTATTATTATAGGGGAAAAATGTTAAATTTCCAATTTCCATTATTATTATAATTAATGTTTTAACTAAATGGTAATTTTTTATTATATATAACATTATTCTCAATGTTCGTTTACATTCTCTAATTAAGTATTTGCATTCTCTCATTATTTATTAGAATGTCAAAAATACATACTAATTACATGCTAAAAAAATAAACAACTTATAGTTCATATTATATAAATTTAATTCTTTTTATCTATTTACATCAGCCCATGTCGTCGGGTGTTTATATATATCATTTCATTTTCCTCATCAAGATAAGATCCACAACATATAGCCCTTTAGCGCTTCCCACCATTATCATTTGGTAAAAATAAGTAAATAATAATGATGATATTATTTTAGAACATTATGCATATTTCAATATATGTGCTTATATTAATGATATACTAATGTTCTTGGTTATACTCCAAATGTATTAAATCAAAATAAAACATATTTATTAAATTGTATAAAAATAAACCTAATTTCGATATTGCTTTCAACATTAAAAAAAATCATATAAAAATATTTTAATAATCATATAAAATTATTTTGAGGATAAAAATTTCCTCTGTCCTTCATCTCATTTCAAGTACATATTCACCCCTTCATTTTCTAGCTCAAAATCAATTGCAATGTTGCCTCTCCATTATCCATTAATTCCAATTTTTTTTAATTTATCTTACGATGAATATAACATAGAAAAATAATTTCAAGAACTTTTTGGAAGTGTAATAATCTTTTAATCATTAATTTAATGTTTTATTGAGTATACCTACTAATGAAAGAAATTTAGGGCCGGTTTGGGGCATCATATTTGG